ATGATGATATATGTAGGATTTTTACTTATAATGTAACGTATAAGTTTCTTAGCTGTGCTTATACGTACTATAAGCAGGACCCGAAACTTCGAGGCTAAATTATACTAATATATGGAATCTTAGCGTTGAAACTTTATTACATACCAAGATATAAACTAATAGCTATACCTTAATCCTATATAAGCTTTTTGCATATGTGTCTTAAAAACGCACTTAAGAAGTAAAGGTTATGGACAATTTAGAAGTTATAGAATGTAAATTGAACCGACAACCTAACGTACCCATCGAGGCACTGTTGTATGAACACCGTCAACTTTTTGCTTGATTCTCGATCTCTCAGGAGGCAGAGCTCGAACCCAGGACCTTTTGATTTTGAGGGCTAGAAAGTTCTCTCTAGTTTGTAGTTAAGCGTACAATGGCTTTTTTAATTAATTTTGTACGTAAAAATTGTATAAACAAATATGATAACTATATATATATATATATATATATATATATATATATATATATATAGAATATATATAGGACTATTAACATTTTAAACGGTTCTATTAAATATTAAAGCATTAATATTTTAATATTAAATATTAGCAATAGTGTAATAAGTATTTCTTTAATATTAATTTGTCATGTTACTGTAATGTCTTAAAGAGATCGAATTACAGACGTTCTTCACAGGAGTCGGTACGTGAGAAGCCCGATATGTTGCCTCCGCCGTTAATGGTTATTTTCCCATATAACATACCTAAGCAGTGAGTAAACTTAGTAATTTTCTATTAGCAAGCGAGACTTAACACAATTTCTTGCACGCTTCACCCACATATTACCTAGTTATTTATAGAAATAGGTCATCTACGCCCTAGTAATTCTAGACTTTATCGCTGTTTAACCGCAAATATTATCGCAAGTCGTAATTGTAAAAGACGTATTGAACTGTTTACTAAATACGTACTAATTTATGCCTACGGTTAGTTTAAGCAATTTAATTTTGTTCACACAAAGCCCGTGAAATTCAGTTTGTAACATTCAAAATAGTTCGGAGAGTCGAAGCTACTATGTTGTGTCAAACCAATTTAGTTATAGTTGATATCGTAAAATAAACTTTTTTAATACATTATTTAAAACTCGGTCAGTATGCCCTTTATTGTACGACGGTTCAATAGTATCTGTTTCCATTATTCTATACAAGTTTAATTTTTATAATTCATCGTCTCAGTGCTTATTTGTCCAAACTTGTCCAATGTACCGAAAGAGTTTTTAATAAAGAATTGAATTGACTTTTAAATGTCAATTCTATTGGTAAAAAATACACGTTTTACTTTAATAAAGCCGAAATGATGTATTTTATCTATTTACATCTATACTTCCATACTAATATTATAAATGTGAAAATTGTTTGTTTGTCCTTCTTTCACGTCGAAACAGAGTGACCGATTGGCGTGATTTTTTGAATGGAAATAGTTGGAATACTGGAGAGTGACATAGGCACTTACTGTACTTTTCACTGCAGAAGATTATCTCATTTCCACAGAAAAACACGTTATAATACAACCCAAAAAATAATTTATGATCAGAATCACTTGAAACTTGGTATTAATGCTCTTCAATAAAATTAAATAAATACATTTTTCGAAATTCATCCCATATTGGGGTAAAATAGGGGATGAAAGTTTGTATGAAACTACCTTTTTAGAGATTTTTTGTAGTTTTAGCGCGAGCGAAGCCGCTGGCTCAGCTAGTAATATATTATTCTCATAGATGTTTTGACAACTCTCACGTAGGGTCATCTACTCGCACCTCACTGCTGGAATATAAAAGCTATAATAAAGGTATGTTCCAATTATATTCAACATATTTTTTTGTTATCTGCTTTTAATGAAAACGGTTTTGTTTATTGAATCATTTATTTACATCAAATATAAAATTAGCTTTACATTAGCACTTATCGTCAAAAAGATACTTATAATTCATAGACTTTGGTTAATAATATGACTAGAAAAATTTTGGACGTTCGTACAAACGATGTTTTTGGTATTTATTTAAAATGCCTATCAAGATATCAGTAATATATACATAGGTATTTTAAATAAAACTATATTTTCGGATTTTTTTGCTGATCTACTTTGATTTTTGGTTCCCGAAGCGACGTATAGTAAATAAATTGTTTTTTTTTAATAAATATGGATTTAAAATTAATCCTGTAAATAAAGGATATCAATGAATAAATCCTCCTAAAATAGCAAATACTGCTCCTATAGATAAAACATAATGAAAATGAGCTACAACATAATAAGTATCATGTAAAGTAATATCAATAGAAGAATTAGCTAAGACTACTCCTGTTAATCCGAAAAGATAGTTTTATTTCAAATATCAAATATTCGCGTAAATCTAATAAATCACTATACATAAATATGTAGGTATTATTTATGATTAATTAAATGCAATATCTTATGTTTTATTATCACTATCTAATATTTTAAATTAAACTATCTTTTCGCATTATTTCGCGGATTTATTTTGATTTTTGGTTCTCAGACAGCATAATTGTGGGTAGGCTGTCTGTAACAACTATACCTTCGAGACATGTAACATCTCAGTCTCTCCCGTGACCATGAATGCTGTAAAGCATTCGAAACGTCAGGAATCAAAAAAATTAAAATAAATCCGCGAAATAATCCGAAAAGATAGTTTTATTTAAAATGTCAAATATTCGCGTAAATCTAAGAAAGTATTATATCACTATCTAATTTTTCTTCGTAAAGTCCATCGATCGTTTCTCACTCTCTCCTTCATAATGCATCATATTAAGCCACACTGCATCGGAATTAAACATTTGTCTGCTCAATTCTAATATTAATCTCTCTAAAACACATAGATTTTATTCATATCTATACTAATATTATAAAGACGTAAAGTTTGTGAGTATGTAGGAGAATTTTTGTCTCGGAAATCATTCCTTAAGGGGTTGAAAATGGGGATGAACGTTCGTATGGGGAATCAAGCTAGGAGCGAACCCGAGCGAAGCGAGGCTGAGTCGCTACTACATTATATTTTTATCGAGCTTTAAAACAGTGGTAAACTTTTGACATTCACGTCGACTGATTTCCCACGGGGGAAACGTACCTTTATATATTTAGCGTACAACTGTGTCTATTTAATTACACAAATATTATATTCTGAAATATGGTCTAGACATTTTATTTTAATTTATTTATGTATGTATGATGACAAAAATACCTTACTACAATGTTTTAAATAAGCTTATTACCACCTTTTGTTAAAACAATATTTGCATATTAATATTATATTCACTAGCATTGCCCGCGGCTCCGCCCGCGTTCAGATGACCAAAAACCGAATCCTTAAGTTTTACATATTAGTATACTCTTACATTGCAGTTTTTCTATTTTTGCTCAGAAATGAGATATTTTCTCGCAGTAAAAAGTATCCTATATGTTCACCAGGATAACCAGCTACCAACATACCAAATTTCATCAAAATCCCTAGAGTGATTTTTCCGTGATGCGGTAACAGACAGACAGAGAGACAAACAGACATACAGACAAAAATTCTAAAAATTATAGATTCGGACTCTGTATCGATAATAATGTCTATTTCAATTAGATTTTCCAAAAAAATATTTAATGTACAGATTAGACTTAGTTAAAATTTTATTATATGTATAGATGTATGAAGACAAAAATTCTTTACTACAATGTTTTATAAGCTTATTACCATCTTTTGTTACAATAATTGCATATTCATATTATATCCATTTAGGAGAGGTCAAGATACTGTCACGTAATACATTAAAAATGTTTGATGTTGAATAAATTACTTACAAACGATAAGTAGAAGATCTTGTACTTAGTAAATAAGTAAATGCCGTAAATATTGTAGGTATACGTTTTACTGCCTCCTCAGTTCCCGTTTACGGTGATGGAATTTTTATTTATTTAACATTTTCTTAGTGACGTACTGCGAGTTCTGAATTTTAAACGGGATTTCTAATGTTTTCATGGCATCTACGTTGCGATGAAAAATGAAGTTAACGATTATTTAATTTATTAGAAGCCTGTAAATAAAATTTTAGGTTTTATTTGATATATCAAAGAATCTAACGATTCCAAATCAAGCACGTAATTATAAATGTTACGAGTACCAAAGTCAATTGGACCCAGTTATGCAAAAAACAGCCATGTGCGTAAAAGTACCAACAGAGTTATAAGCATTTTTCTGTCGATAGTTGCACTTGGGTTATGTTTTGTTTTTCTGGTTATTTTAAAATTGAACAATATTTATATAAGTATTGTTTACTTTTTATGATTATTTTATTTTTTATAATAAAATGCTTATAACTCTGTTGGTACTTTTACGCAAATGGCTGTTTTTTGCATAACTGGGTCCGATTACTATTTTAGAAATTTGCTCCACCTGTAGCTGAAGTGTTTGTAGCCGCCTAGCCTTTGTTTTTTCAGGGGACGTAAATCGATTTTTAGGACACTTTCATTGATTGTTAGAGAACATAAACTAGAAAGATGAATAGACTTGTTAGAGTATAGAGGATCCGGTCTAAGCATCTGAGGGATTGAAAATACGATGCAAAAATCCATCCAAGGGAAGCTGTTCCCCATCAAACTAAATCTATATGAAAATTTGGCATGATTTCTTTGTTAATATAAGTATTATATATTATAGGTACGATGAAAGTGTTTTAAGTAGTTTTTTTTTAAATTGTGTGAATACGATGATTGGTTAATTTATTTCTTAAGATCAAAAATACAGGTATCAAATATGTATGTTACTTTTGAAAAATATCCTTTACAAAAATCATAAATATACATGTAATTTTGAAGGTCACTTATTAATTACTACATCTACAGTTTTTAATTAACTAAAATAATTAGGAACTATTAAAAAAACACGTATTTTCAAAGTCCTCATGTAAATTGTGGCACAAAAGTTTATTCCTTATGATGTAAATCACCATTGCATCAGGTGGGGGGTTCCGGGTCTTTGTCTTTGCTAAGAGGGCTCCCCTCTGGCCCTCCGTCGGCACTGTTTCCGCTGTTGATTGCGACTGAGGTGAGAGGTACCTGAGAGTAAAAATTTAATTGTACTAGAATGTCAAATAAATCTTAGTAAATTAGTATGAAGCCAGCATTTTCGTATGTGTACATAGTTTGTACCTCCTAACCTCATTATATTATTTAAATTTTATATAAATAATAAATACGTTGGGACATTAACACACAGCACCATATAGTTACATGGTAAGCTACGAGGCTTGTGTGATGGATACCAGATAGTTGATACATTACATGTACAGGGTCATTTTTAATTTACTGAAAACCTTTTGGGAATACACTATTTACAACATAACAACAACATCTGTAAGAAAAAATAATAATATATCTTAAATTTAAGAAAAATAAAAATATTTTTATTGCACCTTCTCAACAGTAATAGTCCAGCATTAGCAAAAGAAAGTGCGTGTCCGGTGAAGGGGGAGGGGTGGAGGAGTGTAGGAAGCCGCGCTTACTCATTTAAACTTGGCCAGATGCTAGAACTTTAAAGTTTAGAAGGTGCAAAAAAAAAAATTTTATTTTTATATGAAAATAAAAATTTAAGAAATATTATTATTTCTTGTTACAGATGTTGTTGTTATGATGTAAAAGTATATTCCCAAAAGGTTTCCAGTAAATTAAAAATGACCCTGTATATTACTTTAAATACATACATATTATAAATATAAGCACCCATGACTGGAGTACAAACATTCATGCTCAGCACACAAATGAAGAAATGAATGGCTCCAGCGGGGCTCGAACCCATGACCGCTTACAAAGCAAGTAGGGTCACTACAAACTGAGCCAAACGTGTCGTCGTTGGCTCAGCTTGTATATGAACCTACATCTTGGCCATTCTCTAGTTAATTTCTATGAAAATAGCTTAAATTTAATGCTAAGTTAAATCATAGTGCCGGTCTCGAATAATGCTCTGCAACTGAAATAAGACCGTTATTATGTACTCTCAAGTGTAATAGCAAGTGGTATTCTTGTCAGCAATTAAGACAAAATTTTCCACATAATAACTGTGGCTGGGTTAGTAATGGCTTTTAATAAAATTTAAAATGGAGATAGCTTGTACCCGGAATTTGTTATGTAAATATGAAAGTTGGTTCGTTTGACTGTTTGTTATTCCTTCTGCTAACTAGCTGCTGGACGGATCTGGATGAAATTTAGTATTATCGTATCACATAGGCTACTGGTAGTAAAAAAATTTACAAAATTTTATGCGACCTGTACAACGGTTTCCCATATTTTTCCACTCAAGATGACAATTTAAGAAAATTTAAATAAGTATGTTATATAAGAATGATAACTTATAGAAATCAAATAATTATTTTACAATTATGTATATAAATTCTATTTTTTTCCTATTAATTAATTATAATTTATATTATTACTAGCAGAATCCGCGGCTACGCTCGCGTTCAATCTACAAAATACTCTTTGGCTTTATGTTATACAGCGACTCACCTTCGCTTCGCTCGGGTTTGTCGCTATGTGTTTAGTATTATTATAATATAGTTCATACAGAATACTAAAATCGCTATTAAAAATTTGGGGGTGGGGGTAGGGAGGGTGAAAAATACTTTACGACCTATTCTCATACCTACCAAGTATACAAAAAAAATCATTAAAATCGGTCGAGCCGTTTCGGGGGAGTGAGACCACAAACACCATGACACGTTATATTTATATATTAGATTACAATGTAACATATGTATTATAAACACAAAAAGCGCCTAGAGATTCTCCAGAGCGCAGAGAGGTTAAGTCGCTAGCAGTAAATGAGCTTTTACTTCCTACGAATTCATGCTTAAAGCTTTAGATGTGTACATTTTACATTTCGTACGCGTGCCTATTATTAAGAGGCAGCAAATACTTATGTGACAAGGATTTCATACGAATCAGCTAAAACAAAGCTTATCTCAAGCACATTTCATATTGCTGTAGAATCGTTATTCGCAATAGTTAGTACTTTAAATTAAAGATAGATACGTGTTCCCTTGAAGGTACAATACGAGTTTATAATTATTTTGAAAAATAATAAGATATTATTTATGTATAATAAATCATTTCTATATGTGTCAAATATATTCTACTATTTTTGAATTTACGTATACATTCAAATGTCATATGCAAATTACATGCTGATTTAATTGTACTAAATTTAAAACGTAAGATATGTAGGTTTTATTTTACCTATAATTTTCTTTAATAAATTATCCAAATTATTACAATGGTTAACCAACCATTGTGAAAGAATTGTATTTAACACAAAGCTCTATTTACTTTTCACAAAATTCATAAAGGAAATAATATTTTTTGACCGACTTCAAACAAAGGAGGAGGTTTTTAATTCGACTGTAGCTATATATTTTCGAAAAATACTATTAATTAAAATAAAAAAGTATATACTTATAAAGTAATAATATACACGAATCACATGAACTTGAAAAAATAACAAATTCTGCGTAGTACATACTTAGTAGTGTAGAGTCAACCAGTTAAGAAATTATATGTTTAACTGTAACATTAACCGGAACCGCTACAACATGTAACAGTCATCAATTTAAAAATTACTAGCGACTTGTCTTCGCATCGCTCGAGTGCGTTCCAAAGCTTGAATGGTTTACGAACTCATAACATACAAACGTCCAAAGATTTTTTTTGTGCCAGGAACCTTCGCATATACAGGGTCATTTTTAATTTACTGAAAACCTTTTGGAAATATACCTACTATTTACATCATAACAACAACATCTGTAACAAGAAAAAAATATATTTCTTAAATTTTTATTTTCATACAAAAATAAAAATATTTTTATTGCACCTTCTAAACAGTAAAGTTCTAGCATCTGGCCAAGTTTCAATGAGTAAGGGCCACTTCCTACACCCCTCCATCCCTCCCCCTTCACCGGTCACGCGCTTTCCTTTTGCTAATTGTTAGACTATTACCGTTTAATATCTATAATTTAAGAGCAATAAGAATACTTTTATTTTTGTAAAATTTAAGAAATATTAATTTTTTTTCTTACAGATGTTGTTGTTATGATGTAAACAGTATATTCTCAAAAGTTTTTAAGTAAATTAAAAATGACCCTGTATATAGGAACCTTCGTATATATAGGATACCCCACTAGAATTTCATCACAATCGGATTAATAGCTTATTAACGCGTAAAGTTCAAATATATTAACATTCATTTTCATTTATATAGAACGTAGATAAAAGTAGTGCATGCTTTTTTGTTTTTGTAAGTATATATACCCACTGTAATTGAAATATTAGTAAATATTTATACTATTGACTTTCTTAAAAAGTAAGTTTAGATTTATATTATCCTAGTTTTATTATAAATATTGTAGAACATCGTAAAAAAATATCGCATCGAATTGAGGCCATAGTGTATAAAAATACGCGCCATAAGTTTACCGCCACATCGTTAAATCTGACAGCTCCTCAGTAAAGTGCATGATTTGATATAAATACGGGACGCTATAGAGAGCTTATAAAAATTAAATTGTTAACAATATCTTATAAAAGACATGTAAGTCTTAGTAATGGCCTGAAATGGATATTATTAAGACATTATTGAATTTTAGACTCAATAAAATATTTCTTTAAAGCAGTAAGCAATACCACTAATGTTTCCTTCATGAGAATCGTGATATAGCGGGACTTAGCTTGTTTATGTTTTTAAACGTGTAGAAGATAATAATCTTACTTGAAACCAACGTTTTCTAATAAATAAATTCAGATTTTTTTAACTACAAACTTAACGGATTTCTCTTAGACTTCCTCCAAATACTCATCATCATGCTTTGTTCGTCATATTAGCAATAAGTAATTATTTTGTAAACAGTAAGTCAAATATACGAGTATATTCTTAATTTGCTTACCATTGACACAGCAGTGCAAATATTCGCATCGGAAGGCCTTGGCGGTGAGTGCGCAGGATCAAACCGTAGGTCTAATTGAAGCATGAATAAAGCAGCGGCGAGCGTAGAGATGGAGACTGACAACTGAGCCGCGGCCACCCCTATACATGTTTTACTATTACACCTGGGGGAAAATATCATATGTTTATTAACTGTCTTCAAAAAAACAAAAAAACATCCCATACTCAATAATATATTTATATCCCATCCATAAAAATCTTCTTCTCCCTGCCCATTTCCCAGTCACTTGGGGTTAGTATATACCAATGTACTCTGTGCTTGGGGTCGGCGCAGTACATCTTCTGTACTGCTGATAGGATTTGGCAAAAGTTTTACGACCGGCCGCCTGCCTGACGTCAACCCTCCTTGGGAATGCTATTGTCTCTCTTTGTCTAAATGGTATCGCGGAAGTCTTGTAATATGCACTTTAGATTTTTTGTCTTTTACAACATTTTTTATAGCATTACTTAAATTTTACATGTCATTTTCGGATTTATTTTAAAATAAATTTTGATTAGACAATCAAAAAAAATATATTTATTAATTTTAACCACGACATAATACTTAGTAAAATTGCGTACCCAAGATTCATCAAAGATCTGATACAAAATGCCAGCATGGCTATATGAGCAGCGATAGCAATCGTCCACAATAAGGTCAAAGGTACAGCGGCACAGGGTGAAGGACCAAGGACCCTCCAAGGCGCACCCCAATTTCGTGTAGTTCTCGAACGAGCTGATACCCAACCCCCAAAACCTCTGCTATAGTAGACAGAAGTAGCTGTAAACATTTAAAATATTTAATAAAATATTAGGTTTAAGGCCTATTGACAATAAATAATTCATATTTAGTATTCATTGTTTTCTTACCGATTATCGATTTTAATTTCCATATTTATTTGTTGTTAAACTTTGCTATTGACATATAGAAAAAGCGAATCTCTATCTACATTTTTGCAGGCAAGCAGATGACTTATGAAAGAATACTTTTAGCGCGAATAAATAGGAACCCTCTCTGCTTGAGAAATAACATATTTGTGCTAATCTATACATATAATAAAATTGTAACTAAGCCGAATCTGTACATTAAATATTTTTCGGAAAATCTTATTGAAATAGACATTATTATCGATACAGAGGCCGAATCTATAGTTTTTAAAATTTTTGTCTGTCTGTCTATTACCGCATCACAGAAAAACTACTGGAGCGATTTTGATGAAATTTGGTATAGTAATAGCTGGTTATCCGGGTCCACATATAAGATACTTTTTACCACGAGAAAATGACTCATTTCTGATAAAAAATACAAAAACTGCAATGTAAGAGTATACTACTATGTAAAACCTAAGAATTTGGTTCTTGGTCATGTGAACGCGGGCGGAGCCGCGGGCAATGCTATTATTCAAATACATTTTTACGAAATATATACATTATAGTCAAGACACAATATCTTACCAGCAGCTAAGACAGTGAATGCTCCAGTTGGAACGCCTAACCCTAGTTCAGGTTTCTGTCGTTCTTCAAGCCAGCCGACTGCACCAACGACTAAGCCACCAATACCACAGACAATCTAGAAAAAATAGAATTGTAAGCCACAATAGCAAAATAAATTAGACATTATATATAACTTGCTAAAAACTTTAAGAAAATAAAACAGTACTATGCATAATAATTCTTTCAAATGAGGGATTTTGTTGAAAGACTTAATCCTCCTTAAAGCCTTGAATAAAATTTCTTTTGCATTATAAAGTATAGGGATTTATTATTAAAAATAAACAAAGTTATCCAATTTCTGTTTCCAAAATATCTTGCTGCTACTTTTTACTTACTAATTGCTCTTTAACTGTTCCTTTTAATTTAATAGAGGGGTATTGTTAAGTTAATTATGTTCTCGCATATACCTATACTATAGGATAAGGTAATACAATCTAACGTATAATTTATGACTGTAATATAAAATGACATTTTAGAAAGATTACATTCGTTCCAATATTTATTGTCGTGGACGAATGTCTCTTATTGAAAATTGTTTATTAGATAATGTGTAGAAGTGTGAATTTTTGGACTTTATCTTCTTACATCACATATCTAGTTTGATAAATAAATAATATAAATATAGTTTAATAAAATTATATTGGGCTTGTGTAAAAACAATGTAGAGAAAATTTTTATAGTTCACTCTTAAAGCTCTGGAAATTATGACTGTAAGATTACATAAAAGATAATAATTAATAACATTACCTAGAGGTAAGGTAAGAATTATTTGAAAAATCTTCTACATATTGATCGTCATCCATCCGTCTACGTGTGAATAATATATGTATAGTAAAACAGATTTTTCAATACATTTTTTCAATTTTTCAACATTTGTATGTATGTATGTATGTATGTATATATTCAGCCCTTCTTAACGTCCCACTGCTGAGCACGGGCCTCCCTTCAATATGAGGGGGATCAGGCCACCACGCTGGCCAAGTGCGGGTTGGCAGACTTCACATGTCTTTCAAAAACTTGCTAGGTTCTCTCAGACATGCAGGTTTCCTCACGATGTTTTCCTTCACCGTAAGGCAAGTGGTAATCAATATTTACTTTGATATTTTTTCTTAAGTTTCTGTAACAAATAAATTACCTGTAACACTCTAACCCTAAGTGCTATCGCAAAAGGATAGATTTGCAATCCAGAAGGCAAGTGACCGTCTTGTTCATCTCCTTTGGACGCACCGCTGACCGCGCTGCATACAGACTGCTTTCGCGACCACATCGCTTTTGTGTTGATCACTGAAATATTACATAATATTAACACCTCCAGGTAAATTTCTAAGAAATTAATTAAAATTCTAAGAAATCTATTGTTAACTGAACGCCGGCGTGTCCGCGGTCAAGAAGGGATTAATAATAACCAGCGATTTACCATCGCTTCGCTTGGGTTTAACAGTAGATTATGTGTTTCTCCAGGTCTAGTCAAGTCGGTTCTGTGTATTTTTTATCTAAATTTACCGTACATTTTTATGCAGCCGTTTTAGCTTGAAGGAGTAATAAACATACACACACATAAACTCACATACAAACTTTCACATTTATAAAATCTATAATTAATAACAATGAAAATAAAGTTATCTCTTACGTCTTTCGCTAATTAGAAAAGTACAATAATTAAAAAATTGCTTACTGTTAGTCTAACACAGGATATTATTTTAAAGTCGAATATAATTATTTTCTACACTTATCCAACTGATTTTCGCGAAATTGCAAATTCACTAGAAATTATGACAAAAACATACTGCACTCGATTGCGTTGAAAATCGATTGTCATCGAGGTTATCAATGAATATTGATAACATATTAAGCTGCCTTTGGTCGCGAGATAAAAGTGTCATCCTGCTATAGGTATTTTATAAACAAAACAGATGAGTTCAATAGCAGGCGGGGATATTAGAGCTGAAATTTGGAATTAATATGAGGTCGCCCGAAGATTAATTTTATATCTCCGACGTGCAGACATCTTGAATGTCTATAACAAAGCCCGTTATAATAATTATATATTTTATCATTGTCTGGCGCAGTAAACAGAGGAAATAGTAATACATAGTCTAGAGATTGTGGTTCGATTCTCGTTTAGGATAAATTGTAGACAATAAAATTCTGGACTATTTAAAAAAAATGTCTTATCTAGTTCATTTTAGATAAATGATAGATACATGTACATACATATGATGTACATAGCTATAGTCTACAGTCCCCAACAAGGTTTTTTAATGATTAATAACAAGCTAAAACTTTACGAGAAGCTTAATTTTGACGATATGATTAGATTTTTTATTGATAGATTTTTTTACGAAAAGATACTGGTAGATACAATTGTAGACCGGTATGGTAAATGTTGAAAAGTTGATTGTCTGAAAATTACTAAAATGTTGTTTTACGATGTAATCTTGAGATTATCCAACATAAAACAAGAAAAAAATATTGTCCTACAATACAGATGGTTTGGATCAAATCGTCCCCTTCTCTGAACTTGTTAAAATAGCAATGTCATAAAATTTATTCATAATCGGCTGATTTTCATAGTATTTATTATTAAAAATATGCATAATTAAATGATCAAATAGTCCTACAAATAAAATGGTAGGATTTCTCAGTCCTATGCTCGGATATTGTCTCCCGCACAAGTAACACTCATGACTTAACTTTCGCATTTATAATCTACTAGAGAAATCCGCGGCTTCGCTCGTTAGTTATAAAAAAACTTAAAAGTAGTTTTAGGTTAGGTACTTTTATCAACAGTTTTACGCCCTTATGGATGAATTTCTAAAAATGCTAAAACACGTATTTATTTAATTGTATTGAAGAGCATTAATACCAAGTATCAAGTATTTCGGTCCACAATTTTTTTGATTGTATTATGACATATTTTCCTGTGGGAATGAGATAATCTCCCGCAGTAAAAAGTAGTACTCTCCAGCCATCCAACTATCCCCACACAAAAAATCACGCCAATCTGTCACTCTATCTGGACGTGAAGGCAGGACAAACAAACAAACAAACAAACAAACACACTTTCACATCTATAATATTAGTGTGGAGTAGGAAATACCATGTAAAGTTCTGAACCGCAATAATTATTTTCATGCTAATTTTCATTACGATGAATTCAATTTTGCCCTAAATCGTTAATTGAGAGAAACACCACAATTCCATACTTAAAACACTGGTAAACATTGCCATCGAAGCCTTTAATATTATTTGATAGGTATCATATACCAATTTAATTATAAAATGACATGTTAATTTTCACGATAAGTGTAAATGTGGTGGTAAAATTTGTAGGATTAGTGGATAATTAAATGTTTACTAAATAAATAATTATGTTTATAAATAAGGGGCGTTTATTGACTCGTGACCAGGGCTCGCTTTCTTTTCAGATTTAATATATAAATCTATATATATATATATATATATATATATATATATATATATATATATATATATAAGAAAAAATATGATAATGTCAATACAAAATTTATTGTGTAATCGAAATTTATTTTAAAATATATCCAAAAATAACATTAATAATTGAATTAATAGTATAAAAAATGTTTTAAAACACAACAAAATCGAAAGTGCATAATATTTAACACCATTCAGACAAAGAAAGACAATAGCATTCCCAAGGAGGGTTGACGTCAGGCAGGCGGCCGGTCGTAAAACTTTTGCCAAATCCTATCAGCAGTACACTGAAGATGTACTGCGCCGACCCCAAGTGATTTGGAAAATGGGCAGGAAGAAGAAGAAGATATATATATATATATATATATATATATATATTATTTATATATTATTTATATATATATAAAAATTGTATATTTTTGGAATGGCTTACCTCTGCTAAAATTCTACCTTCGCTACTATGTACATACATGAAGCCAAATAAATACTTGGGTGAAGACGCAGCCATTTTGTTTTACATCGCTAGGAAATCTCATGTCATGTTATTTTATTAGAAAAGAGACTGTGAGACATTCACTAATCTATATATGATATAATAAAAGTGTAACTGATCGCTGTCTGTACATAATAGATATTTGAGAAACATGAAGAATACTGTCGTTGGGGGTCTTTATTTACGCAATGGAACCCAAAACAATGATTTTTAAAATTTTTGTCTGTTTGTCGGTTTGTCGGTTAGTCTGCTTGTCTGTGCGTTTATGCGCGCTAATCTCAGAAACGGATTAACCGATTTGAATGCGGTTTTCACCACTATGTTGTGGTAAGTTTCACTTAACATTTAGTATATGTTTTATTTCAATCGGTTCATAAATAAAAAGTTACGTCAATTTCAAGTATTACCTAGGGACGAACCCGAACGAAGCGATGGTGAGTCGCTAGTATTCTAATAAAATTCTCGCGTCACGGTGTTTGTAACAAAACTCCTCTGAAACTGCTAGACCGATTCTCATGAAATTTTGTGTGTATATTCAATAGGTCTGAGTATAGGACGTTAGTTATTTTTCATACCCCTAAGTGATAAGGGTGGTCCACCCCAAAACATTTTTTTTTATTTTTTGGACAAATTTTTTTATTTCAATTTTTTTATGATTCGGCATTAAAAATACATACATACCTAAATTTTTCCTAGTAACTATATAATATAACCAAATAGGATTGCATCCTGTAAAAGCCTATTTTTAATATATTTTTTGCTATATCTAACTTTGAAAAAGAAATAATCTTTTATATATCACATATAAAAATTTATGATATTAAATTACCTATAATGAATATATAAGATAATTTTAGTACGGTTTTAGCGACATTATATTCGGCTGACTACATTTTATTGAGCTGTTAATTACAAAAACGCTGAATTTTAATGTATCAGTAGCTTTTACTGTAATTAAATTGCTTTAATTTATACAGAATAGTCGATGTGTTAATAAAGTAAGTTTTATAATACACCCAATTATGAGAAGTGCCGTTTGTCTCGAAAATGTTAATAAATTTATGTGAATATGAATGTAGTATACATTTTCAAGTACTTACAAATTTTATTAGAACGATGTTACTTAACGCGGCTGGCGGTAAAAGTTGACAGGTAGAAATCGTAACATAACGAAAAAGCGTTACGAGACGGCTCCGTCTGGCGTAGTTCGGATGTTATCGTCAAGCGTGGTCACACCATACTTGTTTAGATCACGTGTTAGTTAAATGTACTCGATGGTATATTCCCGCTAAATAAAATAATGTTTCAATAACTAATAATTTTATTAAAATTGAGTTAAATTATCTGATTATTGAAATTTTGTTGTGGAGATTTAAGAAATGGAAACTGCAGCAAATATGTGTAATTAGAAAAGTAAGTTCATAAAACTAGTATTTCTATATGTTTTACGTTATTTGATTGTTAATTACTTATTATTTATATATATATATATATATATATATATATATATATATATATATAGTTTATAAAGTTATATAAAGTATATAAGTTATCCGTGCCTCTACAGGTTCTCATGCAAAGTATTATATCCGTGGAGTATGCCAATAGACACTATATCAAATTACATTCGGAATTGAAGTAGTGGGAAGCGAAAGCTCTAGAAGAAATAATAAGAAGAAGTGAAAAGAAGAGAAGAGAAAGAAAGTGAAAATATTGATGGAAAATGGTGCTCAGTGTGACTCAATTATACCGATACGTTGTATTTCTCATATAAAAACTGCTTATGCCCTATTTCACCAACATCCCATAAGCTACCACCTACTTATGGGATCCCTAGCTTAAACGTTCCCCCTTTTTTTTTTTTTTTAACGTTGGGAAATGCATTTACGCACGAGGTGTGGGACTCACCGGCAAAGCCAGTACTACCCACTAAAACCCAACAAAGCCTTCCCCCGTCTTAATGGGGCGTCGCAGGATCGCTTACGCATTCAACTATGACGCCCCGACGGCAGGTCTGCCGAAGCAGACCACAACAACCACGGGGTTGCTCCAAGGTCCACTCTGCTATCAGAGAAGTACCAGGAGCAACCCGCATGGTGCACCGCCCTCCGAAGAGGGCCACCTCCCACCGCCCACCGAAGTGGGCCACCTCCCTGTGCGTTTCTTGGCTTCGCGCCCGGTTGGGTTGCCGGGCACTACTGAGCCCCCCCACCACGACAAGGTGAACGCACGTTGGGGGGGCTTAAACGTTCCCCTAAACTAGCCCCTAAATTAATTTTCGTTTTACTATCGTCAGAGCCTGTATTTCTAGTATCTATATTTAGGTGGCATTTTAACA